ACACATCCATCTATGTCTGCATCCACCGATCGCTGTAGGAATCTACCCATCTAAGCATATGTCTTTGCTCACATATATCTGTCTGGCAAGCACTGAGTCTTATTGCCACCACCAATCCCAGTAACATTGGGTTCATTCCACTTTTCATATCTGTATTGATCTTCTTGAACTGGAGGGCACCTTGACCCACTATCCTCAATATTTTTACCAATTTCCTCAGGCCTAGAATATACAGAAAGTATCCTATATAATAAAAGGCTAATATGCGAATGGTCCCCTCAACTGGAGTTCAACCAGGATGTGAGACCAGCGGACCAACCGCCCGCAGCCCCTCCACCCTGGCCAGCCTGATCCGGGTGGGCTGGCTGGATGTCACCGGTGAACAAATTTGTGCACCAGGCCTCTAGTTTTATATAAGCTACCCAAGGGTGATAACAGGAGGAATAAAGGACAGAACCTACAGGGAAGGCCATGGGCATATAGACACAAAGAGACAAGTTAGAGTGACAAACAAGATGGAAAGATAACCTATTGAAACACAGAACAAAGCATTATAGTTTGATCTCTCAAGCTGCATTATTATTGATCATTCTATTCAATGAATTATTATCTTAATATTCTGACACATGATTTTTCATCAAGAAATCTGATTTTAATATTTTTAGAAGCACCACGATGTCCACCTCCACCCCAGATCCCCAATTCTCAAAATATGACCCTGACTGTGAATTATCAAGAAGGAGAAAAAATATCTATCCTCTGTCAAGAAAACTTTCTGATCCAGGAAGGAGAGGAAATGGTGTGCCAGGATGGACGATGGCAGTCAATACCGCGCTGTGTGGGTCAGTAGTGGGTCGATAACAATAGAAATGTCTTTCCGATGAGAGTAACCCCTTGTCCCCCACCCCCCTACCCGGCTTTGTGTAAAGGAACAAAATGAGCCTCTTTCCCCTATCCATTCCACTTCATCTCCAAACAGTACATACCATCCAGGTGCATTATCTCACTTGTAATGGGAACGAAACTTCCGGTGACTGTGGAAATACCAAGGTTCTGTCTATGGGTATTTCACTCCTCAAGAAGAACAGCAGGAGACTGAAGAGCCATATGGGACAAATGGATAGTAGCATCAACTTTGTGGGCACATATATCTTTGCAAGCTTCAAATATTTTTAGTTATTAATAATTTAACTTGTTTCATTGACCTTACTTGAAAGTCCGAAGCATTGTTGGATTTTATTTTTCAATGTAAACAATATCCTTGTGTTTGACCTTACAACTTCTATCTCTCATATAGAAAAAATTCCATGTCCTCAACCACCTCATGTAGAACATGGAAGCATTAATTCATCCAGATCTTCAGAAGACGGAGGAGAAACACTGGAACCCATATATGAGCATGGCACCAGATTAAGTTATATTTGTAAGGATGGTTTTGAATTATCTCAAGAAGATGGGATAACATGCCACCTGGGAAAATGGAGTGCTTCCCCACAGTGTGTAGGTAAGGACAGCATGCCAACTAACGTTCTGTTTTGGTACAGGTCAGATAGATAATCCATCATCGTCATCAAAGTCATGAGAAATAACACTTTAAAATTATAAAAGTATAAAACCATTATATATCATTTATATAGGTTTTAATGTTTACCAAATGATTTTTACATAAACAAATCAAGCCTGTTTTTATTAATTTTATGGGCTCCTTATGAAATCACTTGTATTTCGGGTATTTTTTCCCTACAAAACCTGAAATGTGATTAAAGGAAACCTAACTCTTCATATCAGTGTACCTGTTCATATTCCTGCATAGTCATATGGGTTGCAATGAAGGCTTTGTCGCCAGTTTCATAAAGATTTATGTTCTCCCTCCATTGTTCCTTCTGGTCTCTTACAGCAGAGGATACTTTTCTTAACATGATTCTCAATGTTTGTGTGTGTGTGTGTTTTTATTTTATTTTTTTTATTTTTATTGCTCATGTTGGTTAGAGAAGCATTGACACCCTCATTCTCAGGTGTTTCACAGTTTTCGTTCAAGTTCTTGCTCAAATTGACAGCTGGACAGCCATCTTGGTGATTCTAGAAGCATTTGTGCGCCTTTTCTGTCATGTGATATTAGCGCCCGTGTGATCATTTGATTTCAAATGAAAGTACCAAATATGACATGAAATGAAGTGTCAGAGATAGTGAAATACAGTCATTCTTTCTTTCCTTTCTTTCTTTCTTTCTTTCTTTCTTTCTTTTTTTTTTTTTTTTTTTAGGACTTCCTTGTGGGCCACCCCCTGCAATTCCCAATGCTAATCCACCTTCCATGTTAAGCAGTTATCCACAGGGGGAACAATACATGTACACCTGTAAACCCGGATTTCGGGTCCGTGGGCCTGCAGCTATTGATTGCTCAGGAGGAAGTTGGTCCCACCCACCAGAATGCATAAGTATGGTGTATTTCATTTTATTCTAATGCTAATGAATATCTTTAGTTCAGGGCGTCCATGATACAACTATAAAACTGTATTAATTCTAGAAGGTCTCTCTAAAAGTTCTGAATTCTGCTAGAGAATTAATAGAAGAATTAATAGTCATATGAGAAGTTTGGCAACAGGAGCCAAATTATTTCATTTGATGTCATCCATGTTCACTGTCCACATGCTCTGATGGGCATCCTCTGACTTCCCATCTCTTCCTGTGTCACGGCTGGTCCCTGCTCACCAACCTCATCAATATTCAATTCACTGAGAGTTTATCAGTTATCTCCTCATAAATCCATAATGCTCTAAGATGGTTGATGTAGCCAGGTCCACGAGGTTCGGTGGTTGAGCATCGACCAGGAGGTCAGGATTCCATTCCCGGTCAGGCTACATGCCCGGGTGTGATCCCCACTGGGGGTCCAGCAGGAGGCAACTCATCAATAATTCCCCCTGATCACTGATGTTTCCGGCTCTTAACTCCTCTCCCTTCCTCTATGAAATCAATAAAAATATAGTTAATTAAAGATGTTTGATGCAATTATGGGAAAGGATTTGGGCAGAAGCAAAAAATGGAAATGTGCGCATAGTGTCGGTGGCCTGAGTGGACAAATAAGAATTTGGGTGTAAGAAGTTTGGTCTCGATCATGACCTGTATGCCCATCTCCTCAGGCTTTCAATACCACCATCTCCTCGTTGCACTTTTGATAAATGTAAAATTATTCAATGTAATTGAGTCAAGATGGCTCACATTTTCAAGTTTTAGGAAAAACATTGTACAGTAGGCATTGGTTTGGTGTGTGTCTATTATTCTAGAGTATAATTATTGCCTGATTTGTACTTTTTAAGATTTACTGAAAAGTCTCTGGTGTTGCTTTTTCAGGAAATATTTGTCCTAGACCACCCAGCTTTGACAATGCCAACCTCGTAGGCCAGCCGAAGAACTCATACAAGTCAGGAGCACAAGTGTCTTATAGATGTTCAGGCTATTACCAAATGGAAGGATCCGGTACTGTACAGTGTAAGGAAGGCATTTGGATCGGAACACCCACATGCAAAGGTATTTTGGTGAATGGCTTCTAGCATCATTAAAAATAGACCTCGGGCCAAAACCGGTTTGGTTCAGTGGATTGAGCATTGGCCTGTGGACTCAAGGGTCCCATATTCGATTCTGGTCAAGGGCATGTACCTTGGTTGCAGGCACATCCCCAGTAGGGGGTGTGCAAGAGGCAACTGATTGATGTTTCTCTCTCACTGATGTTTCTATACCTCTCTCTTCCTCTTTATAAAAAATAAATAAAATATAGTATATTAAAAAAAATAGACATCGGATCCGGTGTAGGCCAGATGAAGGAAGGTCTATGCCTCAACATGGAGGAATGGGATGTGTATCAATGGTGGGCATTGGAGCCCCCAAGCCCTGTTTCAGAGTGTGACCCCTGAAACAGCCGTGTCAGCATCTGGGGGAATGGGTAGAACGTCAAATGCAAACTCACAGGCTCGCTCAGCCTCAGCCTCAGAAGCTCAGGGGTTGTGACCCCGAAAACGTAGCAATTCCCAGCGGGTTCTACGCCCTCTTTGGTTGGGAACCGTAGCTTCAGCCTATTATTGCTTTGCATCCCCCCGAACCCCCCGATGAGCTGCACAGCGCTCTCTGCAGTGCCGTTAGGCACTCAAGTCATCGGAGTGTGTGTAGGGAACTGTAAACACAGTGCACTGTTCTTTTTCCTCAGTTTCTGTTTGGATATTTTAAGTGATCATCTTCTTAAGCTTCTTATTCTCTTAAGAACCTGGTGCTCATTTTCTAAGGATCTAAAGTCACAATTCACACATGATGCTGTGAACCACATGTGGCTGCCAAATAGCATGTTTGTTATGTGTTTCTTGGGTTTATAAATTCACTTTGATGTTATATCATCTACATTTATTTTACTAAACTTAAAGGAAAATATTCAGAAAAACCATCGTGTTTTTTTTTTTTTTTACTTTTATAAATGTTTTAAACTTTTGATTGAACTTGTTGGGGTGCCACTGGTTAACAAATGCTGCTCATATAATTAGACAGACACAAGCAAAAGAGTGATATTGGACCCCCGTCTTATACCTTACACAAGAATAAACTCAAAATGGATTAAAGACGTAAATATCAGGTTATAAACTATAAAAACCCCAGGAGATAAAAAACATGGGCCATAACATCTTAGACATTTCTCACAGCAATATTTGTTTCTGACATATCTCCGCAGGCAAGCAAAACAAAAGAAAATAATAAACAAATAGGACTACATCAAACTAAAAAGCTTTGCACAGCCTGATCATCTTCTCATTGGCCTAAAAATCTCTATTAACCTTTGAGAGAGGATGGGAAAGAAACTTAAGATGTAGAAAATTGCCTCTTACCAAAAAAAAAAATATATATATATATTGTTTAATCTTCTTTTTTTCAAACTTGCATGTAAATTTATGGAGACTTTCCGTCTCAATTGCATCTAAATGATCGCTGCATTAGAGATCCATTTTTTGCTCTTTATTCAGATTTCTCCTGTGGCAGCCCTCCCCCAGTGCTAAATGCCTATGTACCAGAGGAGAAGTCTAGGTATCAACACGGGGAGACAGCACATTATCAATGCAGGCACCTTCTGGGCCTCTTCGGGAATGAAGTGACATGCTTAAACGGAAATTGGACAGACCCACCTGAGTGCAAGGGTAGGGTGCCTCTTTCCCCCTCCCACCCCCACCCCCACACACACACACACTCTCTGAGCAGCTCCTATAAGCACTTGGCCACTGTACTCCTGTCCAGCTGGCCCTCACTTGGTTACTCGGGTTTGTTGCTCTATCGTTTCCTGTAAGTGGGTTTGGGGCCAGGAGGATGTGAGTGTAGCTACTCCTCAGCTTCCTTAAAATCCACTGCTCACCCAATAAATCAGACCATCTCCTCTCTTAGATTCCTCCGGAAAATGTGGGCGCCCTCCCGCTATTGACAATGGAGACATTATCTCGAATCCATTAGCAGTCTACGCTCCCGGGTCTTCAGTGGTTTATCAGTGCCAGGCCTACTATGTGCTTGCAGGAAACAGGAGAATAACGTGCCGCAATGGAGAGTGGTCTGAGCCACCCAAATGCTTGGGTAAGTCCTTTAGTATCCTCCTGGTCCCTGGGACATCCGTGGAATGAATGCCATGTCTGCTGCTTCCAACAGAGGACTGTGCCTCTTCTGTTGACCACCGAATAGTCATGGCTGAGGGTATAACGTCTGAAAAATTCTTGAGCAACAGCAGCAAGAAACTATCATTTGTCTTTATTGTAATGTATTCCCCCAGCACCACTTATGCCCCCTCCTCCCTCGCCACCTCCTCCACTCCTTCAAGGGTTCTTTAATGAAAGCCCTTCAAAGGATAATTGACATTGTGAATGTTGATTTTAACATACAGTGATCACAGGTTCCATAGAGTACCCACTTTCCATCACTGATAGTTTACAATGAGTTACAACAACACGGTGGATTTTCAATGCAGTGGTTTGCAGAAGGGTTTGAGGATAAGTTCCTGGATCTTCATGTAGAAGGTTCTACATGAAGGTGTAAAATTCTGTGGAAAATATTTGTATACTACCTAAAGTTTTATGTTCTTTTTTTTTTTTTTTTTCAGATGCATGTGTGATATCACCAGAAGTCCTGGAAGAACATAAGATAGAGTTTCAATGGTCATATGCGAAAAAGCTTTATTCTGAAACAAACGATTACACTGAATTTAGGTGTCGACGTGGCTATTATCCCAAGTCACCAAGATCTGCATTCCGAGTACAGTGTCGAGAAGGGAAAATGGAGTTTCCCACTTGTTGGTAAAATGAGAGCTACGCGGCAGTTTTCACATTAAAATCTGCACCTTCATTCAGAATGCTTTAATATTAATCTAATTCCTCTTGATTTATTTTTCTAGTTGGGTGTGACTCACTTTTATTCATTAATCAGAATTTGTGTTAAGTGCCAGGTGGGAGATGTCACTTCTCATAAGCATCTCATTAAAGTGTGAGAAACCAACGTGCTGTGTGTTCCGTTCATGAAACGTCTCTGGCCGGAAATTAGACGCCATGTCTTACCTCTCTGCTTCCCCCATCACCCTCCCCATGTTCTCAGCTTTCTCCATGATTGGTGGGGGCATTCTGAGACTCTTATTCCAGAGACAATGGGGAAAATGCTTGTCTCCATCTTCACCTTAAAATCACTTCACAAACATATCAAAAACCAAACTGTGTCATTCCCCTGTTGGCAATAGATAGTAGAGGTTATTACTTAGATTTGCTATCTATCCGTAGCTCACTATACTCCCAAAATTATGAAATGCAACATCTGCATATCCATCTAGCACATACAATAATTCAAACAGGTCATAAAGAGGTACTAGATTCCAATCAGGGATCTAGCTATTGTAACACAGATTGGAAAACTGGTAAAATACCAAGTATGAACATGTACAACACATTCACCCAGTGTGCTATGAAAGTGAGCCAATGGTTACAGATCAAAGACTGGCAGGAATCAATGAAATACCTATCACAAATACAGTTCAATTCAGGTATAAGAGACGTGGGCAGTGGGTTCAATTCTTACATCCTCCCATTCCTCAATCTTTAACATATATCACCGTTGAGCCCGTAGAATATGTTAAATTAAAATAAATACATTTGCAAAGGAAAACAACACATTCTGAGAAATATGAAGAACTCTTTCATGATGTGGGCATATGGTCAGGGTGACCTGCCAGAAGTCAAGTTCATGGATCACTCAGTAGATATCAAAGTCCAAAGGGGCTTGCAAGATGCCTCCATTTCCATTAATAATCAACTACAATTTGATTGCCAAAAATGGATTATTATAAATCCTAGACCAACAACTAAAAAAAGATATCTAATCACCAACAAATTGTATAAAATGTAATAGCATAGACTAATGTAAAAGAAAACAGAGGATTCTAAAGACTACCAGAAAAACATGGGACAAATTAGAAGCTATTGGCAAATGGCATAAATGCATCCATTAATAGTAATTATTGATATCAGATTACAATGACAAGCCAATAAGAAAAAAAGATGAAGTAGAATTGAATAAAGAGAAAACCCAGTTAGGAGCCGTTTCACAAAGGACCAATGTAAGTATTAAATAATAACTAGTTGAGCCCACCTCGTATGTTTGAGCATTGACCTATGAACCAGGAGGTCACGGTTCAATTCCCGGTCAGGGCCCATGCCTGGGTTTTGGGCTCGATCCCCAGTGGGGGGTGTGCAGGAGGCATATGATTCTCTCTCATCATGGATGTTTCTATCTTCCTTTTCTCTCCCTTCCTCTCTGAAATCAATAAATGTATATATTTTTTAAAAGTCACTGCCTGATGCCAAAACCGGTTTGGCTCAGTTTGCAGACTGAAAGGTCCCAGATTTGATTCCAGTCAAGGACGTGTACCTTAGTTGCAGGCACATCCCCAGTAGGGGGTGTGCAGGAGGCAGCTAGTTGATGTCTCTCTCTCTCTCATCGATGTTTCTAGCTCTCTATCTCTCTCCCTTCCTCTCTGTGAAAAGTCAATAAAATGTATTTTAAAAAAAAAGAATAGTATTAAAAAAAAAAAGTGACTGCCTGAAAGCAAAACATTGAAAAATTTAAACCTTGTATGAACAAAGTTTATATAAGGTGAGTGGTAATGGTAATCTATATATATAAAAGGCAAGCGACCATCTGATGGTCCAACCAGCCAGTAGGTATGATGCACACTGACCATCAGGGGGCAGATGCTCAATGCAGGAGCTGCTGAGCTGCGATGACGTGGCAGCAGCAGTTTTTGGGTGATGCACCCCAGAACCAGAGAGGAGGGAGCCCCATTCCAGGGTGTGTCACCCAAGAACCACCCTCTTGCAGTCTGGGGGGATGTCAGAGAGCCAGTTTCAGCCCAAACCTGGAGGCCAGGTCAAGGGACCTCAACTGCCAGAGGGACCCTGCTCGCTCCACAGACACCCTTCAAGCTGCTGCCTCAGATGCGGCCAGCTGGAGAGGGACAGTGGTGAGCTGGCTCCAGGGAGTGTCCAGCCTCTCTCGCCCAGTCCCACCCCTCAGGCCACCTTTTAATTAATTTCCTTTCAATGTGCCCGTGCACCAGGACACTAGTATTAAATGAAATGATATTCAAAAGAGAAACACCAGAGAATAATGAAGAGTATTTCCTAATAATAAAATATGAAATGCAGGTGATATTGAATTCACTAAGGCAAGGAGGAAAATGAGTTGTATAAGGAAAGTAAAATATAAATTTGTAACTTAGAAAGCCTTTAAGAACTGCACCAAAAAGAGCCACTAGAACTAATGCACAAATGCATGTTCTTTATATTTGAAACAAAGCATTAAAAAATGAATGTTAAAAAATGATTGTCATTTATGAATATTTAAAGTTAATATCACTTATGAATAATTAAATATAAGGATAACATTCGACAGAATATTGGTGAAATTGCTACACTGCAAATTTCAAAACAGACGGTGAAAACAATTTCAAGACTAAGAAATGAAAACGTCTATGATGTTTGTGGATCGAAGACTTGCTGTCATTAAGATGTATATTCTCTGCAATTAATTCATGCTTTCAGTTTGATCCAAGAAAACTTCCTTATTTAACGAAAATCGAATATCACTGACATGATCCTAAAATTCATCTTTAAGAAAGAAGCACATTGGAAAGTTTTATTCCTAAGTGTCTAAATCAATAACAAATATTCTCTATGTGGAAGTGTCAGAATGACAAAACACCTGAACCAGTGGGAAGAAGAGATGCCGGAAATACACACCCACACACAGACTAAGCACAGAATGAGTAGTAATTATAAGAACATACGATTTAAAAATGTCTGCCTTACAAAAATTAACCTGAAATCAGAAGTCAGTTAACAAACTTGGAAAATGCTCCCACATAGCATTTTGGTTTGTCATATTTTAATGAGATGCTTATGAGAAGTGGCTGGTGGGTTGATGTCTGTTTACAGTGACATCTTCTACATAGTATTTAACACAGATTCAGACTAATGAATAAAAATGAGTTAAACCTATCCAGAAAAGTAACTTGAGAAGAATTGGATTCATAATAAGGAATTCTGAGTGAATTGAATGAATTTTCTATCATTCATCGTCATCATCATTGTCATCGTTTGATGGTATGGCTGGCATATACTATCATCTTGCTCATAAGTGGGAATCTCCGGTTCTCCTCCTTGACATTGTACTTGGAGTGCAGATGATGGTGACCCTTCATCACAGCTAGGTTGGCACACGAATTCAATATAATCTTCCCTTGTAAAATAATCTTTTCTCGCATCTAACGATCTCAACTGCATGTTATGTTTTCTCCTGATTTCTTCTGATACTACACATGCATCTGATGGTTAAAAAAAGAGAGAGAGGACATAAAACTAAGTTTTATACAAATATCTTCCACAGGAAAGAGCAGGAAATGCCAGAAGACTGGCAAGCTTTGAGGCGGGAAGAGCAGTAGGTGGGGCCGGCCACATATTTGGGGCCACAGAGCTTCATTCACATCTGGGGAACTCCACTGTCCCTTTCCGACACGCGGCTTGAAATGACTCCTCTGACGTCACCGCCTTGTGTCCCGATTTGCACACAAATTCCACGACATCCCCAGATTTGGCATAATAGGGTTTGTCAAATTTCTCTTTTAACTGTATGTTCTTTTCATTCATGATGTTTTCTGGTATCACACAGGGATCTGAAAGGAGAGGAAATGAATACAAGCAATTAGGAATCCCTCCTTTTATACACAAACAAACCTTCAGCCCAATGGCTAGCTTGGAGGATGAAGTTATGGAAACAGTTAATGCCCATCATCCACGTGGGCCGAGTCCTGTTCCTGGGCTGTTGTGAACTGTGGGCTGAATTGTGGGCTGAAGACTTGTGAGCAAGAAGGGCAGTTGTCATTGTTAGCACCTGTAGGGTTTGAACAGCTTGACAGAGTTGAAGCTTTGCTCTTCCATTTGACTAAAATAATCAGTTGTTTTAGAGCTACACATCTTAACTAACTGGTCAATGAGCAATTTCCCTGGCCCTAAGTCAACATGGAACTGAATTTCTGTTTTCTCAGAACCCATTCTTTAAGCACATGAAAACAAATCCCAGTCCAATGGAAACTCTGTGATAACTAGTCTCCAATTAGTATCTGAGCAGAAGTTTATTGGCAAAACCAGTTCCTGGTTAGGGTAAGACTTTACGCTTCACGTTTTCTCCATGTCTTGCCTCTGAATATGTGGTGCCCTCAAATGAAAGGAGCCTAGGCCGGCCAGTGTGGTTCCGTTGGTTGGATGACGAGCCATTCACCAAGAGGTCACAGGTTCATTCCAGGTGAGGGCTCATTCTGTGGTTATGGGCTGATTCCCCAGTAGGGGGCATGCAGGAGGCAGCAGGTAGATGTTTCTCACCTTTGATATTTTTCTCTCTCCCTGTGCCTCCCTCTCATTTAAATACAAGCAAACATATGGGGGGGAGGGGAGGTTAAATGTGAAGAATGTGCTGAAATCCATGGACATGGCGGTGTGGTCTGTTGTGAGTTTACAAAAAAATCAGTGCTGCCCTACAGACAGGACCCTACACTGTGCGCACACCCTGGCTGGTGTCCACTGACCCCTAAGAGAGCAGCCGGTGAGAGCAAAGAGAAAAAAAGAGACAGTCACAGGGACATGCAGGCAGAGCTATTCCCACCAGAACCTCCTGGTTGAGAAAGAACCTCCCCCATCCTCAAGAAGTGGTTCAAGATTAGAGTTTTGGAACCAGTCCATTCTGTCCGTAAGGAAAGCCGTGAGTACCTGCCAGGGAAGTAACTCAGGAGGTAATTGTGAAATAAATCGTTCATGCAAATTTATAGTTACTGCAAAAGTCTTTGAACTTTGATATCTACTGAGTAAACATAGTCAGCTAGCTTCCCGGTACTCTCACTCAAATTCAGAGCCACACTTGGTAACGGCTCAAGAAGCACATTTAACCCCAAACAACAGCGCCGGACCATCTGCGCTCACACACCCGGGGAGGCCCACCATGCTGCTCCTGGTCCACGTCATCCTCACCCTGTGGGTCTCCTGGGCTCGTGGACAAGGTGAGTTGAAACATTTAGCTCCTTCTTAAGTAGGATTGGACCTTTTTCATTTGCCTTTACTTCTTGGAAAATCGTCACCAAGGGTGTATTTTCTAATGAACCTTAGGGAAAGAGAGCAAGGGAGGGAGAAGGGGGAGAGAGAGACACACACACACATCAATGTGAGAGACACATGGACTGGTTGCCTCTCACACAAGCTCCAACCAGGGCCCGGGATGGAAACTGCCACAGAGACATGCACCCTTGACCAGGAGTTGAACCCACTGGCTAAGACTATTGGAGGGTCATTTACCAAAACTTCGGCCTCTGCATTCATTAGGGGACAATCTCTGACGACAAACCATTTGCAGGAATGATGAAAAGTACCACAACCTGATAAATAAAAACTACCTTTGGCCCAATTCATCCATCCCTGTGCAAACTGGATGTGTCTACTGATTCACAACATGAAGTGCCAATATGGAACCATTATTCGTCTTCCAAATCTTCGTGATGGCTTCTAACAGTAGGAAAAATGTGGCCTCACACGTTTGTTCAATCTCAGCTGTTACTGTTTTGGCTAGAGGCACCGGCCCTGGCAATGGTTTACCAGCACCGTTGGCTTTAATGGAGATTATGAGAGATAAATCCATTTGTCAAGGGATGTATGCCCACTGCTCGAAAGCAACCACCAGAAGTTCTTCTATTCTTAACTAATTTAACAAAGATTTCCCAATAGTATTTGGTTGGTCTCTTAGGGAAACGTGTTTTTATGTGTCTCATGGCTTTTGACTTCAAACATTGGTGTTACGTGTGGCTATCCTGTGTAGTGAAAGCTGAGATATGTAGACTGGACTGCAATGGGAGCATGAACATCTGATAGATACAGTGGATTAAAGGGAGAGAAAACATGCACTAAGTATATATTTATTGATTTCAGAGAGGAAGGGAGAGGGTGAGAGAGTTAGAAGCATCAGTGGTGAGAAAGAATCATTAATAGGCTCCCTCCTCCGCCCTTCCCCCACAATGGGTATCAAGCTCCCAACCTGGGTATGTGCCCTCAGTGGCAATCAAACCCTGACCTCCTGGTTCAGAGGTCACACTCAATGCCTGAGCCACACCGGCCAGGCAGAAATAAACATAGTTAAGGCTCATTTGAGGTTCCTGTCGATTAACATCACCCAATGCATACGGCAGACATATTTTACTGAACACTGGGTCTAGGTGGCCCAGATGTTTTCTGTTAGTTACAATATAACCGTAGCTAATATACGCGTGAGGACAGGGTGCTCATTTGAATGCCCCTTTGCACTTTGGAAAGAGGAAAAAAAAGACATTCACCGATTCTCGTGTCCTGGATGACTTTCACGAGATTTCATATGTACTTCACATGTCCCTTTACTTTTCAGAATCTGCCTGTGACCCTCCAAGAATTGCAAACAGTCACTTCCATGCTGACAAGAGCAAATACGGAGTGGGAGACACAATCACATACTCCTGTAAACATGGCTTTGACCCTCCCACCCAGGGAAATACGGCAAAATGTACTGACATGGGCTGGGATCCTTCTCCGAGATGCAGCCGTAAGTTCCCTCCATCTCTTGACCCGCTTCTTAATTCTGCAATTCCTTCTCTTAAACTTAAAAATGAGGGTGATCTGCCTGGCCTGCGGGGCTCACTGCTTGAGTATTGACCTATGAACCAGGAGGTCACCGTCCGTTCCACTTCCGGGCACAGGCCGGGCTGTGAGGTTATCCCCAGTGTGGGCTGTGCAGGAGGCAGCCAATCAGTGAGTCTCTCTGTCCATTGCTGTTTCTCCTTCCCCCTTCGTCACTGAAATCAATAATAAACAAACAAACAAACAAACAAAGAGGTCTAAGTCCAAATCTTGGCCTCACTGAGAAGGTAAAGCAGAGGACTTCAAAGCAGTCTTTGATTTCCAAAGTCTCTAATTGTAATTAAGATCAAACCCACAGTTTTGTTAACAAAAACTTTTAATTTTTTGCTTTTCAGTGTTACATATGTCTATTTGTACTTAGGACTAGACATCGGTTGGCCAGATTATGATCTCTGTATGCATAGTACTCTGGGCACTCAGTGTATATCCTATAGAATAAAAGGCTAATATGCAAATTGTCCCCTGGATCAGGAGTTCGACCAGCGGTCAAGCAGACCAACTGCCTGTGTCCCCTCCCCCTGGCCAGGTTGGCCGGATCCAACCCATGTACAAATTCATGCACTGGGCCTCTAATACACACACACACACACACACACACACACACACACACACACACTGAGTGGCCATATTATTACGCGTTCAGAGATCATCACAATCTGGCCAGTCAGTGTATATGTCTCTCACTAATACTCTACTCCTCTCTGTATATGTAACACCCAGCCACTAATTTCTGCATGACATGTAAAGTTTACTTGGCACAGATTGGTCTTATGTTCTCATTAAATTATTTACCCTTTTTATAGAAAGAGAGTGCATCGTTCCTGATATAGAGCAGGAGTTACTTGCTCAGCCCCAGAAAGAGAAATATGTCATTGGAGACGTGTTGAAATTCTACTGCAGATATAGATTCAAATCTCTTCTTGGACCAGATTCTATTCAGTGCTACCACTTTGGATGGTCCCCTAATCCTCCGACATGTAAAGGTGATTATTTCTCTGACACTTGCTCAAACAAGAATTAGGATGTTGGATATCAGCTGTTCTTTTCCTCTCTCAGTATTCTGTTGGCTGCCAGTGTGCCTAGAATTCAGTGCATAAGCCAGGAATGGATGTTGGGTAGTAGATACCTCACACTTCCTTATTTAAGGAAGTAATCTTTAATTGTTTTTTGGACTAAATATTGAAAATCTCCATCGATGGACATCTTATGTGACGCTAGAATGAATGCCTTAGTCATAATTATTGCATAACTTCCAACATTGGTATTGGATATTTCTATCAGCATGGATCTCACCTCAAGTTTTCCTGAGAATTTCTAAACACTCTTCAAGCATCATAGAGTTCATTCATTGCCAAATGCAATATAGGGTAGAGGTAAAATTTGTTGATCAAATGCTTTCCTCCAATGATTTCTTTTTCCAAAAAGTTTTGATGAAATGTTTCTGTGGAATGTGAATAGTTACAAGATGTTATCTGGTCGTTGATTTGCATATGGGTTTAGATGGTCTAGAGCAGGGATGGGGGACCTTCTTTCTGCCAAGGGCCTTTGAATATTTATGACATCATTCACAGGTGATGCAAAATTATCAACTGAAAACTCTTCCTTCTGTAATTGGTCAAACATGTAATTAACTCACCTCTAATGCTTAGGCAGGGCCAGACCCGATGATTCTCGGGCCTTTTATGGCCCTCGGGCCAGACGTTCTCCACCCCTGATCTAGAATAGCAAACGTTTCCTGGGCTTACATTTATGTCCAACATGCTAGTTCTGTATCATAACAGAACTGGGAGACATGCATCTGGCGTAAACACCATTCTGTTTCCTTTCTCAAAAGGTAAGTTAGATAGCAAGTCATAGATTAAAGAAAAAATCTCTTCATTTTACTGGATTTTCAGTTGTACAAGAGGCACTTTAATCTTTACTTACATAGAATTTCTACCGTAGAGGAAGTACAATCCTGTGATCAACCTCCTCGACTCCCCAACGGGGCAGTTGCAGACACACCTAAAGAGCAATATGAACACGGTGAGGTGGTGGAGTATGCCTGCAACCCCAGGTTCCTGATGAAAGGGGCTAAGAAAATCCAGTGTGTTGATGGAAAGTGGACACCCTTGCCCATGTGTGTTGGTAATGTACAATATACCCACTTCCAGTGGTTAGACTTACGTCATCACTTTGTGTTTCTCTTCATATCAAGCCCTCACTTGCACTTGAAAGTTGAATGTTTGTTGTGGGATTTTCACAGAGGAGCACAGTACATGTGGAGACGTACCTGAGCTGAAGGACGGTGAGGTCGTGTCCCCAGCACAGCCCTCCTATCACCATGGAGACTCAGTAGAGTTCACTTGCAGAGACGACTTTACAATGGTTGGTCACAGCTCAGTTACCTGTATTAAGGGAATGTGGACCCAACCACCTCAGTGCATTGGTGAGAAGACCCTTTTATAATTGACATTTAATAGCATTGGATGTTTTTCATTGTGAAGCTCTACATGCAACCATATTTTTGAAATGTCTGCTTGCAAACTATAGTGAATCAAACATTCATTGTTTATAGTTCAATAGTGTCTATAAAGGAAAAATAGAAACTAGCAATAGAATTTTATGTGTCTGTCCCTAATATTGACATTGTTTATACCTATGAAGCTAGATTTTACTTAAAGACATATGATTAAAATATCTTCTCTGATGTTTATTTTCTACCTCCCTATCATCTTGCATTTCGCTCTATTCAAGATGTTTCTTTTCCCCTGATAAATATTGTTTCAGAAAACAAGCATCTTTAGACATACCACAACCATCACACCTTCTTTTGACTACAAGTCTTCCTTCAGTCATCATCTCTTGAAGAACACGACTCATTTTGTCTCCTTCAACACTCTGGAACCATCCCAAAAACAAGACCAACTCCCAAGCCTCTTGTCTGTTTTAAATTAGTCTCCTTGATTTTATATATATATATATTAGGTTGCATTGCAAAATCATTACTTTTCTTTGGCCAGTTGCTTGACTTTTCTTTGTTCTGTTTATCCTCACCTGACTCTCATCATTAACAAATTATGAACAAAAACTACCTAAGATCTACACTGATGCCTTATCAAAATCAGAAAGGATTGCCACCTGCATTGCATTTTTTAAATATGTAGCTGTGTATGAAAACTTTTATAGTATCTAAAACATACCGAAACCAGCATAAATGTGTTATTATGGCTATACAATATTATTAGATATAGGATGACGTGGTGGATAAAATAGCTTCTCAAAGATCCTAAGAATGATTATACAAAATAGGTTATGATGTAAAACACAAACAAGCAATATCTTATTCTAGTTTTTGGTGATCGTGGTAAAGATATGCTGAAATGTTCACATTCTGCATCCTACAACTTAGACAAACGTGTTATTGTACATTAAATTTATTGAAAAATATATAATAAAACTAGGAAATTCACATAGTCTATTTCCACAGATACTTTTTCCTTTTTAACACATAGGAAAGCATAACTTTCCTATTAAATCAGACAAAAGTTGTACCCCAATGTCCTTGTAATCCACAAAGGGCAACCTTGTAATCCGCAAAGGGCAAGATTGTCTCAGAAATTTCACAGGACTATATGGCTATTCTCTCTGAAATTTCAATACTGGACATAGGACTATATGCTCACACATTGTAACATGAACAGAAAGAACTTTTCTGGTGGAATTTATGGTCCTAAAGTCCTATTTCATTAAAGTCTGGACTCTATAGTTGTTGTGTTGTTTTTCTGTATTTTATATTAGTTGCTTGGATTTTCATAATTAGTGTCTTCAATGAAATATTTTCGTTTTACAGCAACAGGTGAAATCAAGACGTGTAAATTATCCAGGGCAATTGCCTCTGAGACAAAGTTGTCATATCGGGTGAACTATGGGCACAATAGGAAAATCAGTTACACATGTGGGAGGAAATCAGCGCAGAAACACTCAGTCTGCATGAATGGAAAATGGCAGCCTGAGGTGACCTGCACAGGTGAGCTCTTCTTTAGATCTTCCCAAAATGTGCTTTTTCTTCCTCCCTTGTAAAAAGTGTCTCTTTCTGTCTTAAAAAAATTTTTTACTATGTATTATGACAATAATTATGAAACTGGAAGGAAATTTAGAAACTAACCAAAACACTGTCCCTGAGTATGAATTGTATCATGTGCCTTGGTCAGCTATCAACACACCACCCAGCAGTACAGTCACATGGGCAGTGGGTGAACTCGTTAATATTGGGATCCCATTGCTACCAACTTTTTACCTTCAGATGTGCCTATGCCTGTAACCTGTGCATTTATCTAAGCATCTATGGGTGTACACATCTAGCTACCGATCTATCTATGTCTGCATCCACAGATCGCTGTAGGAATCTACCCATCTAGGCATCTGTCTGTGCTCATGTCTGAGTCTTATTGCACCACCAATCCCAGTAACATTGGGTTCATTTCACTTTTCATGTCTGTATTGATCTTCTTGAACTGGAGGGCACCTTGACCCACTATCCTCTATTTTTACCAATTTCTAGAATATTCAGAAAGCTTTTTACATAAGCTAAGCTACCCAAGATGGATCACAGTGGAATAAAGGAAAGAACCTACAGGGAAGGCCATGGGAATATAAGCCCAGTGAGGTATGTTAGAGTGACAAACAAGATGGAAAGATAACCTATTGAAGCACAGAACAGAGCATTACCGTTTGGTGTATCCAGGTGCATTATGATTGATCATTTCAGTCACTGAGTTGTTGTTCTAATATTTTTGACTTACGAGTTTTCATCAAGAAATCTGACATTAATGTTTTTAGAAGCACCACGATGTCCACCTCCACCTCAGATCCCCAATTCTCAACCTATGACCCTGACAGTGAGTTATCAAGAAGGAGAAAAAATATCTATCCTCTGTCAAGAAAACTTTCTGATCCAGGAAGGAGAGGAAATGGTGTGCCAGGATGGACGATGGCAGTCAATACCGCGCTGTGTCGGTCAGTAGTGGGTCGATAACAATAGAAATGTCTTTCCAATGAGGGTAACCCCTTGCCCCCAGCCCCTCCCTCCACCCCAGCTTTGTGTAAAGGAACAAAATGAGCCCCTTTCCCCAATCCATTCCACTTCATCTCCAAACAGTACATACCATCCAGGTGTAGAAAACAATAAGCATTATTTCACTTCTAATGGGAAATGAATGCAAACAGAAACTTCCGGTGACTGTGGAAATACCAAAGTTCTGTCTATGTGTATCTCACTCCTCAAGAAGAACAGCAGGAGACTGAAGAGGCATATGGGACAAATGGATATTAGCATCAACTTTGTGGGCACATCTAGCTTTGCAAGTTTCAAATATTTTTAATTATGACATACTTGAATGTGTCCCAATGTCCCTATAATTAAATAACAAAAAGTGTTGGGTTTTATTTTTCAATTTAAACATTATCTTTGCCAAAACGGGTTTGGCTCAGTGGATAGAGTGTCAGCCTGTGGACTCAAGGGTCCCAGGTTCGATTCCGATCAAGGGCATGAACCTTGGTTGTGGGCATATCCCTGTACCTGTGGGGTGTACAGGAGGCAGCTGGTCGATGTCTCTCTCTCATCGATGTTTCCAACTCTCTATCTCTCTCCATTACTCTCTGTAAAAAAGTCAATAAAATATATTTTTTTAAAAAACATTATCTTTGTGCTTCTCACTTTGATCTCTATCTTTCATATAGAAAAAACTCCATGTTCTCCACCACCTCATATAGAACATGGAAGCATTAAGTCATCCAGATCTTCAGAAGACGGAGGAGAAACACTGGAACCCATATATGAGCATGGCACCACATTAAGTTATATTTGTAAGGATGGTTTCAAATTATCTCAAGGAGATGGGATAACATGCCACCTGGGAAAATGGAGTGCTTCCCCACAGTGTGTAGGTAAGGACAGCATGCAAACTAACGTTCTGTTTTGGTATAGGTCAGTAACTCTTTAGAATTATAAAAGTATAAAACCATTACATATCATTTATATAGGTTTTAATGTTTACCAAATGATTTTTACATAAACAAATCAAGCCTGTTTTTATTAATTTTGTTGGCTCCTTATGAAATCACTTGTATTTCAGGCATTTTTTCCCTACAAAACCTGAAATGTGATTAAAGGAAACCTAACTCTTCATATAAGTGTACCTGTTCATATTCCTGCATAGTCATATGGGTTGCAATGAAGGCTTTGTCGCCAGTTTCATAAAGTTTTATGTCCTCCCTCCATTGTCCTTTCTGCTCTCTTATACTAGAGGATACTTTTCTTAAGATGATTCTCAATGTGTTTCTTTTTATTGCTCATGTTGATTAGAGAAGCATTGACACCCTCATGAAAGGTGTTTCACAGTTTTTGTTCAAGTTCTTGCTCAAGCTGACAGCTGGACAGCCATCTTGGTGATTCTAGAAGCATTTGTGCGCCTTTTCTGTCATGTGATATTAGCGCCCGTGTGATCATTTTATTTCTTTTTTTAAATTTTTTTTTTAGGACTTCCTTGTGGGCAACCCCCTGCAATTTCCAATGCTAATCCACCTTCCATGTTAAGCAGTTATCCACATGGGGAACAATACACATACACCTGTGAACCCGGATTTCAGGTCCGTGGGCCTGCATCGGTAGAATGCTCAGGAGGAAGTTGGTCCCACCCACCACAATGCACAAGTATAGTGTATTTCATTTTATTCTAATGCTAATGAATATCTTTAGTTCAGGGCGTCCATGGTACAACTATAAAACTGCATTAATTCTAGAAGTTCTCTCTAAAAGTTCTGAATTCTGCTAGATAATTAATAGAAGAATTAATAGTCATATGAGAAGTTTGGCAACAGGAGCCAAATTATTTCATTTGATGTCATCCATGTTCACTGTCCACATGCTCTGATGGGCATCCTCTGACTTCCCATCTCTTCCTGTGTCACGGCTGGTCCCTGCTCACCAACCTCATCAATATTCAATTCACTGAGAGTTTATCAGTTATCTCCTCATAAATCCATAATGCTCTAAGATCGTTGATGTAGCCAGGCCCACGAGTTTCGGTGGTTGAGCATCGACCTATGGACTAGGAGGCGACATTATAATTCCCAGTCAGGGCACATGCCAGATTGCAGGATCAAATCTCCAGTAGGGGGCGTGCTGGAGGTAGCCAACCAGTGGCTCTCGCTCCTCATTGATGTCTCTGTCTCTCAACTCCTCTTCCTTCCTCTCTGAAGTCAATAACAACATAGTTATTTTAAGATGTGTGATGTAATTATGGGAAAAGATTTGGACAGAAGCAAAAAATGGAAATGTGCACATAGTGTCGGTGGCCTGAGTGGACAAATAAGAATTTGGATGTAAGAAGTCTGGTCTCAATCATGACCTGTATGCCCATCTCCTCAGGCTTTCAATACCACCATCTCCACGTTGCACTTTTGATAAATGTAAAATTATCCAATGTAATTGAGTCAAGATGGCTCACATTTTCAAGCTATTCTGAAAACTGCAGAGTAGGCATTGCATTGATGTGTGTCTATTATTCTAGAGTAGGGGTGTCGAACTCAATCAGAGAAGGGGCCAAAATCTAAAATCCAGCCTAAATTGCGGGCCGAATGGTTTACTGAACAGTCATAAACTGACAATGTTAACCAGAAATGTGAATTTAAAATGAGTGGAACAATCTTTTCCTTAACAGTGCTGTTAACCAACTCACATGCTATCAAGGATTTGGCCCGTGGGCCTTGTGTTTGACACATGTGTTCTAGAGTATAATTATTGCCTGATTTGTACTTTTTAAGATTTACTGAAAAGTCTCTGTTGTTGCTTTTTTAGGAAATACTTGTCCTAGACCACCCAGCTTTGACAATGCCAACCTCGTAGTCCAGCCGAAGAACTCATACAAGTCAGGAGCACAAGTGTCTTATAAATGTTCAGACAATTACCAAATGGAAGGATCCGGTACTGTACAGTGTAAGGAAGGCATTTGGATCGGAACACCCACATGCAAAGGTATTTTGGTGAATGGCTTCTAGCATCATTAAAAATAGATGGGGCCAAAACCGGTTTGGTTCAGTGGATTGAGTGTTGGCCTGTGGACTCAAGGGTCCCAGATTTGATTCTGGTCAAAGGCATGTACTTTGGTTGCGGGCACATCCCCAGTAGGGGGTGTGCAAGAGGCAACTGATCAATGTTTCTCTCTCACTGATGTTTCTCTCTATCCCTCTCTCTTCCTCTTTGTAAAAAATCAATAAAATATATATATTTTTTAAAATAGACATCGGATCCGGTGTAGGCCAGATAAAGGAAGGTCTATGCCTCAACATGGAGAAATGGGATGTGTATCAATGGTGGGCATGGAGCCCCTGAGCCCTGTTTCAGAGTGTGACCCTTGAAACAGCCGTGTCAGCATCTGGGGGAATGGGTAGAAAGTCAAATGCAAACTCACAGGCTCGCTCAGCCTCAGCCTCAGAAGCTCAGGGGTTGTGACCCCGAAAACGTAGCAATTCCCAGCGGGTTCCCTCTTTGGTTGGGAACCGTAGCTTCAGCCTCATATTGCTTTGCATCCCCCCGAATCTCCCCGATGAGCTGCACAGCCCTCTCTGCAGTGCCGTTAGGCACTCAAGTCATTGGAGTGTGTTTAGGCAACTGTAAATACAGTGCACTGTTCTTTTTCCTCAGTTTCTCTGTGGAAATCTTAAGTGATCATCTTCCTTAGCCATGCGATATTCCTCAAAGCATGGCAATACTTGACTTATTCTCTAAGAACCTGGCTACCGTGCTCATTTTCTAAGGATCTAAAGTCACAATTCAAAAATATGATGTTTGAGAACCACATGTGGCTGCCAAATTACATGTTTGTTATGCATTTCTTGGGTTTACAAATTCACTTTGATTTTTTTATATAATCTGTGTTCATTTTACTAAACTTAAAGAAAAATGTTCAGAAAAAAACATCATTTTTTGTACTTTGAAAAGTTTTTAAATTTTTATTGAATTTATTGGGGTGCCCCTAGTTAATAAATGGTCCTGGTATAATTGGACAGACACACACACACAAAAATGATATTGAACCGCCTTCTTATAACTTATAAAATAATGAACTCAAAATAGATTAAAGATGTAAATGTAAGGTTATCCTATATAATAAAGAGGTGATATGCAAATTGACCTTCACGCCCTCACAAAAGATGGCCGCCCCATGTAATCAAATATGGCCACCCCCATGTGGTCAAAGATGGCCACCACAAGATGGCCAGCAAGGGAGGATAGTTGTGGGAGTGATCAGGCCAGCAGGGGAGGGCAGTTGGGGAGACCAGGATGTCAGGGAACAGCAGTTAGGGGTGATCAGGCCAGCAGGGGAGCAGACAGGCCTTGATCCAACTGGCAGGCAAATGGTTAGGTGGTGATCAGGCTGGGAGGCAGGAGAGTGGTTGGGAGCCAGCAGTGCCGATTGTGAGAGGGATGTCCAACTGTAAGTGGGTTTGGGGCGAGGAGGATGTGAGTGTAGCTACTCCGCAGCTTCCTTAAAATCCACTGCTCACCCAATAAATCAGACCATCCCCTCTCTTAGATTCCTCCAGAAAATGTGGGCGCCCTCCCGCTATTGACAATGGAGACATTACCTCGAATCCATTAGCAGTCTACACTCCTGGGTCCTCAGTGGAGTATCAGTGCAATGTCTACTATGTGCTTGCAGGAAACAGGAGAATAACGTGCCGCAATGGAGAGTGGTCTGAGCCACCCAAATGCTTGGGTAAGTCCTTTAGTATCCTCCTGGGCACTGCAACATCCGGGTAATGAATGCCATGTCTGCTGCTTCAAACAGAGGACTGTGCCTCTTCTGTTGACCACCAAATAGTCATGGCTGAGGGTATAATGTCCAACTGCCAGGATCAGGCCTAAACCAGCAGTCGGACATCCCCCAAGAGTCCCAGAATGAAGAGAGTGCAGGTTGGGCTGAGGGACGCACCCCCAGTGCACGAGTTTCATGCACCAGGCCTCTAGTAAACCATAAAAACCCTGGAAGAAAAAACATGAGCCATAAAATCTTAGACATTTCTCATAGCAATATTTTGTTTCTGACATATCTCCTCAGGCAAGCAAAGCAAAAGAAAAAAATAAACAAATAGGACTACATCAAACTAAAAATTATTGCACAGAATGATCATCTTTCTCATTGGCCCAAAAAATCTCTATTAACCTTTGAGAGAGGATGGGAAAGAAACTTAAGAAGTAGAAAATTGCCTCTTAAAAAAAAAAAAAAGAAGTTTTATCTTCTTTTTTTCAAACTTGCATGTAAATTTATGAAGACTTTCCATCTCAATTGCATATAAATGATCACTGCATTAGAGATCCATTTTTTCCTCTTTATTCAGATTTCTCCTGTGGCAGCCCTCCCCCAGTGCTAAATGCCTATGTACCAGAGGAGAAGTCTAGGTATCGACACGGGGAGACAGCACATTATCAATGCAGGCACCTTCTGAGCCTCTTCGGGAATGAAGTGGTGACATGCTTAAACGGAAATTGGACAGACCCACCTGAGTGCAAGGGTAGGGTGCCTCATTCTCCCCCCCCCCCCACCCCCCACACTCTCTGAGCAGCTCCTGTAAGCACTTGGCCACTGTATCCTGTCCAGCTGGCCCTCACTTGGTTACTCGGGTTTGTTGCTCTATCGTTTCCTGTAAGTGGGTTTGGGGCCAGGAGGATGTGAGTGTAGCTACTCCGCAGCTTCCTTAAAATCCACTGCTCACCCAATAAATCAGACCATCCCCTCTCTTAGATTCCTCCGGAAAATGTGGGCGCCCTCCCGCTATTGACAATGGAGACATTACCTCGAATCCATTAGCAGTCTATGCTCCTGGGTCCTCAGTGGAGTATCAGTGCAATGTCTACTATGTGCTTGCAGGAAACAGGAGAATAACGTGCCGCAACGGAGAGTGGTCTGAGCCACCCAAATGCTTGGGTAAGTCCTTTAGTATCCTCCTGGGCCCTGGGACATCCGTGTAATGAATGTCATGTCTGCCGCTTCAAACAGAGGACTGTGCCTCTTCTGTTGACCACCAAATAGTCATGGCTGAGGGTATAATGTCCAACTGCCAGGATCAGGCCTAAACCAGCAGTCGGACATCCCCCAAGAGTCCCAGAATGAAGAGAGTGCAGGTTGGGCTGAGGGACGCACCCCCAGTGCACAAGTTTCATGCACCAGGCCTCTAGTAAACCATAAAAACCCTGGAAGAAAAAACATGAGCCATAAAATCTTAGACATTTCTCATAGCAATATTTTGTTTCTGACATATCTCCTCAGGCAAGCAAAACAAAAGAAAAAAATAAACAAATAGGACTACATCAAAGTAAAAATTATTGCACAGAATGATCATCTTTCTCATTGGCCCAAAAAATCTCTATTAACCTTTGAGAGAGGATGGGAAAGAAACTTAAGAAGTAGAAAATTGCCTCTTAAAAAAAAAAAAAAAAAAAAGTTTTATCTTCTTTTTTTCAAACTTGCATGTAAATTTATGAAGACTTTCCATCTCAATTGCATATAAATGATCACTGCATTAGAGATCCATTTTTTGCTCTTTATTCAGATTTCTCCTGTGGCAGCCCTCCCCCAGTGCTAAATGCCTATGTACCAGAGGAGAAGTCTAGGTATCGACATGGGGAGACAGCACGTTATCAATGCAGGCACCTTCTGAGCCTCTTCGGGAATGAAGTGGTGACATGCTTAAACGGAAATTGGACAGACCCACCTGAGTGCAAGGGTAGGGTGCCTCTTTCTCCCCACCACCACCCCCCACACTCTCTGTGCAGCTCCTGTAAGCACTTGGCCACTGTACTCCTGTCCAGCTGGCCCTCACTTGGTTACTCGGGTTTGTTGCTCTATCGTTTCCTGTAAGTGGGTTTGGGGCCAGGAGGATGTGAGTGTAGCTACTCCGCAGCTTCCTTAAAATCCACTGCTCACCCAATAAATCAGACCATCTCCTCTCTTAGATTCCTCCGGAAAATGTGGGCACCCTCCCGCTATTGACAATGGAGACATTATCTCGAATCCATTAGCAGTCTACGCTCCCGGGTCCTCAGTGGAGTATCAGTGCCAGGCCTACTATATGCTTGAGGGAAACAGGAGAATAACGTGCCGCAACGGAGAGTGGTCTGAGCCACCCAAATGCTTGGGTAAGTCCTTTAGTATCCTCCTGGGCCCTGGGACATCCGTGGAATGAATGCCATGTCTGCTGCTTCCAACAGAGGACTGTGCCTCTTCTGTTGACCACCAAATAGTCATGGCTGAGGGTATAACGTCTGAAAAATTCTTGAGCAACAGCAGCAAGAAACCATCATTTGTCTTTATTGTAATGCATTCCCCCAGCACCACTTATGCCCCCTCCTTCCTCTCCCCCTCCACCACCCCTTTAAGGGTTCTTTAATGAAAGCCCTTCATAGCAGAGGGGACATGGTGAAGGCTGACTGGAGCACACAGGGATCACAGGCTCCACAGAGTACCCACTTTTCCATCACTGATAGTTTACAATGAGTTACAGCAACACGGTGGATTTTCAATGCAGAGGTTTGCAGAAGGGTTTGAGGATAAGTTCCTGGATCTGTGTAGAAGGTTCTACATGAAGGTGTAAACTTCTGTGGAAAATGTTTGTATACTACCTAAAGGTTTATGTTCCTTTTTTTTTTTTTTTTTTTTTTTTTTTTTTTTTTTTTTTTTTTTTTACCTTCAGATGCATGTGTGATATCACCAGAAGTCCTGGAAGAACATAAGATAGAGTTTAAACGGTCATATGAGAGAATGCTTTATTCTGAAACAAACGATTATATTGAATTTAGGTGTCGACGTGGCTATTCTCCTATGTCACCAAGATCTGCATTCCGAGTACAATGTCGAGAAGGGAAAATGGACTTTCCCACTTGTTGGTAAAATGAGAGCTACATGGCAGTTTTCACATTAAAATCTGCACCTTCATTCAGAATGCTTTAATATTAATCTAATTCTTCTCAATTTATTTTTCGGGTTGGGTGTGACTCACTTTTATTCATTAATCAGAATTTGTGTTAAGTGCCAGGTGGGAGATGTCACTTCTCATAAGCGTCTCATTAAAGTGTGAGAAACCAGCGTGCTGTGTGTTTCTGTTCATGAAACGTCTCTGGGCCAGAAACCACCATATGGTTCCATCGTGGTTCAATATCCCTCGTTGATGTTTCTCTCTCTCTGAAATCAATAAACCATGGGGGGCAGGGGTTGAATATCAAGAATGTGCTGAAATCCTTGGGCTTGGTGGTGTGGTCTGTGGTGAGTTTACAAAAAAATCAGTGCTGCCCTACAGACAGGACCCTACACTGTGCGGACACCCTGGCTGGTGTCCACTGACCCCTAAGACAGCAGCCGGTGAGAGCAAAGAGAAAAAAAGAGACAGTCACAGGGACATGCAGGCAGAGCTATCCCCACCGGAACCTCCTGGTTGAGAAAGAACCTCCCCCATCCTCAAGAAGTGGTTCAAGATTAGAGTTTTGGAACCAGTCCATTCTGACCCTAAGGAAAGCTGTGAGTATCTGCCAGGGAAGTAACTCAGGAGGTGATTGTGAAATCGTTCATGCAAATGTACAGATATTGCCAAAGTCTTTGAGCTTTGGTATCTACTGAGAAACAGTCAGCTAGCTTCCTGGTACTGTCACTTAAAATCAGAGCCACACGTGGTAACGGCTCATGAGGCAGATTTAACCGCAAACAGCAGCGCCTGACCATCTGCGCTCACACACCCGGGGAGGCCCACCATGCTGCTCCTGGTCCACGTCGTCCTCACCCTGTGGGTCTCCTGGGCTCATGGACAAGGTGAGTTGAAAACAGTTAACCAGGCAGCATGCTCCTACCTGGGACTTCATATTACATCTACTTTCATGGGTCTGTTTTTTTAATGACTTGATCCTACTCTGTATTGGAGGACAGAACAGAGAAAAACCTTTTTAGGAAAAGACAGACAATTAGGTTGAATTTTGCTTCCTGAGTTCCACAGCAAAAGGGCCAGCAGTGCTGCTTGCGGGAATATTTGAATGTGTTCACACACATTTGGGAACAATTCTCACAATCGTGTGTAGTGATTGTTTTATAGGTCGCTACATGAAAACCGGTGAAATCGGTCATTTCAAGCATGTGCTGTTTACTGGATTTCAATTAACCCTTAGTACGTCTGTAAAAGTAATTAATATTGCAATCCATTTAGTACTTAGCAGCGGGTAAAAAGAAATACCTATTTCAGCAAAAAGTAAAATACGTTCTTAATTTCCAATGGAATCCCAATACATTTTACTAGATTTCTGAGTTCATTGTTAAGTGTTGAGTAAATAAGTTCATGTATTTCATAGCATTATCTCTATTGTGCACTGATGTGCATTCTTTAGAATTATATGTGGTCTCTATTGTGCATAAATGCAACCCTATGTAGTAAACAATTGTACCTTATAGAAATATAATTGATGATTTCTTTAACTTATCTTCAACGAAAAAGCAGTTTATTTTGTACTTTAGTTGTAATAGCATTCATTGCATTTTAGATTCTGTAAGATTTTATTTACGCAATGACACTTCCTTCCCCCCTTTCCCAGCCTTCTGAATATTTCATCTTAACTATCCTATCATTTAAAACCCCTTATTTTCCTAAAACCAAATTCTCTCATTCCTGAGTCGCTGTAAATGGGACCTCTAGCGTGCCTTAGAGCACGTCATCCCGCCACTTGCAAATCCCTGTGCTTTTCCCTTAGTTTGCAGGAGGGATTCATTTACATAACTTGTGGCTTTGGTCCATGAGGACAGTTCACACTTGGGCAATTTCCTTCACTGGCCACCGCAATAGCAACCACTCAACAAAGCTTCCTGCCCAGGCCAACAGTGTCCTCCTCTAATGAACTCTTTCTAAAAGCAACCTTTGGCTGAAACTGGTTTGGCTCAATGGGTAGAGCGTCGGCCTGCGGACTGAAGGGTCCCAGGTTCGATTCCGGTCAGGGGCATACGCGTTGGTTTCGGGCACATCCCTGGTAGGGGGTGTGCAGGAGGCAGCTGATCGATGTTTCTCTCTCATTGATGTTTCTGACTCTCTGTCCCTCTCCCTTCCTCTCTGTAGAAATTAATAAAATATATTTTTTTAATTAAAAAATAAAAGTAACCTTTGAACCCTGGTGTGGCTCAGTTGGTTGGGCATCAATCCGTGCACTGAACCGTTGTCGGTTGGATTCCCAGTCAGGGCACATGCCTGGGTTTGGTGCTCAACGGCCCATACCAATATCTCTATATATAGCCCTCCCCTTTTTTCTTTCTCTTCAAAATAAAATTTTTTAAATCTTATTTTAAAGCAGCTGGCCGGTATAAGCCAGTGGTTGACTGGACAATGTCTCAGGAACCGAAGGTCATGGTTCCATTCCTGGTCAGGGCCCACGCCCGGGTGACAGGCTCCGTCTTCATTGTGAGATGAACAGAGGCGGTCAGGCACTGGTTCTCTCTCATCATTGATGTTTCTATCTCTCCCGCCCCTTTCTGCTCTCTAAAATCAATAAAAATATATATTTTTTAAAGATGGGGACCAGTCCACTCTTCTAAATGCTCTGTAGTGGGAGTTGTACCAGTGTTTGTCGGGGGACAGGAACCACGTAGGGGCCAAGTCTTTTGTGCGGATAGAAACACCTGTTGGATTGAAGTCCACACTCCCTCCCGGCATTTCAGCATGGAGTTGTGCACAGAGATAAGGCACTGTTATCTTAGATAAATATGATTGCCTTACAATAGGTCATTAAGGGTCTGAGGGTAATAAAGGTGAATTGTTCCTTCATCCGGGATCCTACCTTTTCTCCCCACAGGAAGAACTTGTGATTTTCCAGAAATAAAACATGGAAACATATATGAGGAGAACACATATAAGCCAACCTTCCCAGTCGCTAGGGGGAAATACTTCTACTACTCCTGTGACCACAGCTTCGTGTCTCCTTCCGGGTCACTCTGGACTCAGATAAACTGCACGGAGGGTGGATGGTCACCCGCCCCGAGGTGTATCCGTAAGTCAACCCCCTGCCCCTCATTCCCCGATGAATGACTCAGGGACTCAGAGAAGGGGCGGGGAGAGGGGGTGTGCAGGAGGGACCCCAGAATCTAAGCAATTACCATGTCAGGAGCTGGTGGCGCCAGCCAAGGTGAGATAGGTCATTCTTCAGAAACTGTATCAGCAAAAAAGTGAGATAAAAACTTGGTGAGATTTCTACATTTTTCCTTTGCAAACACCAATGCTCGGCCATTTCAGCTACTAGCATGTAATTTACTAGTCAGCACGCTCACTTGCTCATTATAAGGACACAGATGTTCCTCGGGAGAGTTCATTTTTGGCAGCTAACCTCTGTCCGCCACATGCTGTATGTATGATACTCAAGGAGCATTTGTGTGAGTTCCCTTCCTTGTGTGGCTTTGCTGAGAGGCATGTCTGTGAGGCACACCGGCCTTCCCCTCTCAGTGAGGGCAGAGGCGCGAAGAGAACAAGTAGGAGAGAGAAAAGGATGCAGGCAAGCCCAGGAGATGGAAGTCTCCCAGGAAGCAATGGAGTCAATCGAATGGGAAAAACCACTTCGCTTTTCTGATGTCCAAAGGAACGTGACAAACGTAAAAATGTGCTTTCCATAGAGTTTGTGGTTGAGGGATATCCCACATATCTAGGAGAGAAAGGATTCATTGGAGAAATATCCCACATATCACATAACAGGATCATTGGCATGAACTGATTTTTTTCTTTTCTGTTTTTCAATATATTTTACTGATTTTTTTACAGAGAAGGAGGGAGAGGGATAGAGAGCTAGAAACATCAATAAGATAGAAACATCCATCAGCTGCCTCCTGCACACTCCCTACTGGGGAGGTGCCCGCAACCAAGGTACATGCCCTTGACCGGAATCGAACCTGGGACCTTTCAGTCCACAGGCAGATGCCAAACCGGTCAGGGCGGCATGAACTGGTTTTTAAGGAAGTCCTTTTTGCGTTTGATTTCCGCCTGGAAGTTGCCACGTGGGGCTGCTCTCCCGATGCAGGGTTCCTCTGAGTCATCCTTGCGTTTGCAGGACAGTGCTTCTTCCCCTGGGTGGAGAACGGGCATTCCACCTCTTCAGGGCAGACGCACCAGGAAGGGGACAGCGTGCAGATCGTCTGTGACCAGGGCCACCGCCTCGCCAACAACCAGGATGTCATCGTGTGTACCGAGCGCGGCTGGTCCACACGCCCTACGTGCAGCCGCATCAGTAAGTAGAACACTGTCCTCGGGGTTCTGTCTCCGTCTTCGTTTTACAGAGAAATGGCTGTGGCCCTGCTGGGGTGGCTCAGTCGGTTGAATGTCATCCCATGTTGGTTCGATCCCAGGGCACATCTTGGGTTGTGGGCTTGATCCCCAGTAGGAGGCATGGATGAGTCAGCCAACCCATCTCTCTCTCTCTCTCTCTCTCTCTCTCTCTCTCTCTCTCTCTCTCTCTCTCTCTCTCTCTCTCTCTCTCTCTCTCCCTTGCCCCTTCCTCTCTAAGAATCAATGTTTTAAAAATTTGAAAGAAAGTAAAGATCCGGTTGTATGAGAGGACAAGGACCCTCTGAGACTGTGAACTATGTGTCGGCCCATTTTTCCACCACAACGGGACAAAGCACGTGTAATTCTTTCTGGCCTATGCGGGTCTCACCGTAGCACCAATGGAAGGGCTGCAAAACGTTGTCATTCTCACTTTGGAGGATTCGAATTTCTCCAATGAATCCTTTCTCTCCTAGACCCCCTGCACGCCTCCTCGTTACATATTGTGCTGGATTTGTACGTTCCTCGGTGATCTGTCAGATGGTTTTTGTCTCTTAACCAGCCAAATAATACTTATAGATTCTGCAGAAGAATGTGGGCGCCCTCCCGCTATTGACAATGGAGACATTACCTCGTATCCATCAGCAGTCTACGCTCCCGGGTCCTCAGTGGAGTATCAGTGCCAGGCCTTCTATGTGCTTGCAGGAAACAGGAGAATAACGTGCCGCAATGGAGAGTGGTCTGAGCCACCCAAATGCTTGGGTAAGTCCTTTAGTATCCTCCTGGGCACTGCGACATCCGTGGAATGAATGCCATGTCTGCCGCTTCCAACAGAGGACTGTGCCTCTTCTGTTGACCACCAAATAGCCATGGCTGAGGGTATAACGTCTGAAAAATTCTTGAGCAACAGCAGCAAGAAACCATCATTTGTCTTTATTGTAATGCATTCCCCCAGCACCACTTATGTCCCCTTCTCCCTCTCCCCCTCCACCACCCCTTCAAGGGTTCTTTAATGAAAGCCCTTCATGGCAGAGGGGACATGGTGAAGGCTGACTGGAGCACACAGGGATCACAGGCTCCACAGAGTACCCACTTTTCCATCACTGATAGTTTACAATGAGTTACAGCAACACAGTGGATTTTCAATGCAGTGGTTTGCAGAAGGGTTTCAGGATGAATTCCTCGATCTGCATAGAAGGTTCTACATGAAGGTGTAAAATTCTGTGGGAAATGTTTGTATACTACCTAAAGGTTTATGTTCCTTTTTTTTTTTTTTTTTTACCTTCAGATGCATGTGTGATATCACCAGAAGTCCTGGAAGAACATAAGATAGAGTTTCAATGGTCATATGCGAAAAAGCTTTATTCTGAAACAAACGATTACACTGAATTTAGGTGTCGACGTGGCTATTATCCCAAGTCACCAAGATCTGCATTCCGAGTACAATGTCGAGAAGGGAAAATGGACTTTCCCACTTGTTGGTAAAATGAGAGCTACGCGGCAGTTTTCACATTAAAATCTGCACCTTCATTCAGAATGCTTTCATGTTAATCTAATTCTTCTCAATTTATTTTTCTGGTTGGGTGTGACTCACTTTTATTCATTAATCATGTTCGTGTTAAGTGCCAGGTGGGAGATGTCACTTCTCATAAGCGTCTCATTAAAGTGTGAGAAACCAGCGTGCTGTGTGTTTCTGTTCATGAAACGTCTCTGGGCCAGAAACCACCATATGGTTCCATCCTGGTTCAATATCCCTCATTGATGTTTCTCTCTCTCTGAAATCAATAAAATTTGAAAAAAGAAAATTAAATATCAAGAATGTGCTGAAACCCTTGGGCTTGGTGGTGTGGTCTGTTGTGAGTTTACAAAAAAATCAGTGCTGCCCTACAGACAGGACCCTACACTGTGCGGACACCCTGGCTGGTGTCCATTGACCCCTAAGGACTGAAGCCGGGTGAGAGCAAAGAGAGGACAAGAGACAGTCACAGGGACATGCAGGCAGAGCTATTCCCACCGGAACCTCCTGGTTGAGAAAGAGCCTCCCCCATCCTCAAGAAGTGGTTAAAGATTAGAGTTTTGTATCACTTTTGCAGCCAGACTTTCTATTACTGTCCCTAAAGAAAGCTGTCCAAGTATTATACATGTCAGGGAATGAAGTCAAGAAATGATTGTGAAATCGTTCATGCAAATGCACAGATATTGCAAAAGCCTTTGAACTTTGATATCTATCGAGTGACCCCAGTCTGCTAGCTTCCCTGTACTCTCACTCAAAATCAGAGCCACACGTGGTAACGGCTCATGAGGCAGATTTAACCCCAAACAACAGCGCCGGCCCATCTGTGCTCACACACCCAGGGAGGCCCACCATGCTGCTCCTGGTCCACGCCATCCTCACCCTGTGGGTCTCCTGGGCTCGTGGACAAGGTGAGTTGAAACTGATAAGAACATTTAGCTGCTGCTGCTTCTTCTTCTTCTTCTTCTTCTTCTTCTTCTTCTTCTTCTTCCTCTTCTTCTTCTAGCTCCTTCTTAAGTAGGACTTTTCTCTTTTTCATTTGCCTTTACTTTTTTTTTTTTTAATCCTCTCCTGAGGATATTTTTTTCATTGATCTTTAGAGAAAGAGTGGATATGAGGGAGAAGGGGAGGAGAGAGAGAGAGAGAGAGAGAGAGAGAGAGAGAGAGAGAGCAAGAGTGAGAGAGAGAAGAATATCGATGTGAGAGAGGCATATGGATTGGTTGCCTCTCACACTCACCCCAACCAGGGTTGTCTGTAATTTTTTTTTAAAGATAAACTAGAATCTCATGTACATGTTGTTGTTGTTGTTTTTAATATATATTTTATTGATTTTGTACAGAGAGGAAGGGAGAGAGATAGAGAGTTAGAAACATCGATGAGAGAGAGTCATCGATCAGCTGCCTCTTGCACACCCCCTACTGGGGATATGCCCGCAACCAAGGTACATGCCCTTGACCGGAATCGAACCCGGGACCCTTCAGTCCCCAAGACGACGCTCTATCCATTGAGCCAAACCGGTCTCGGCTGTAATTTTTTAATAGAACTGACCAGTAGACAGCTTCTGTGTTGTAAGGTAACAATAAATAATACCTGGATGGAGCCTGGCCCATGTGGCTCAAGTGATTGAGTGTTGACCTATGAACCTGGAAGTCATCTTTTGATTCTGGTCAGGGCGCATGCCTGGGTTATGGGCTGGATCCCAGGAGGGGGCGTGCAGGAGGCAGCCTAGCAATGATTCTCTCTCATCGTTGATGTGTGTATCTCCCCCTCTCCCTTCCTCTCTGAAATCAATAAAAACATATTTGTTCGATGGGATACTTGCTAGTCTCTGCATCATCCACGTGTCCTTTTTTCTTTTCAGAATTCACATGTGAGCCTCCCGTAATTCCCAACGGGGACTTTGCCCCTAAAATGGACCAATACGAACTTGATTACGTAATCACGTACCAGTGTGGAAATGGCTTCCATCCTCCCCTGAGGGGAAATGAGGCAGAATGCACTGCTCTCGGCTGGCTGCCTCTCCCGAGATGTGTCCGTAAGTCCCGTTCGTGCCCTGACCTGCTTCTACCTTATGAAATGACTTCCCTTGAACACAAAGAAACGGGGATCTGAGCCCAGTCGTGGCCTCCCTGAGGACTGACAGGCATTCTTTCCTTCTCAAAGTCTCCAAGATTGAGTAGGACAACATCCTGTCAAAAAAAACTCTTAAATTTTGCTATTCAATGTTAAGTGTGTGTGTGTGTGTGTGTGTGTGTGTGTGTGTTATGTGTGTGTGTCAGATAATATAATTTTAATGTCTGACATAGGCTATTGGGTAAGACTACTACCATTCAACACCGGGTGCATTAAATACTGATGTCTCCATCGGTTTGGCTCAATGGATAGAGCGTTGGCCTGCGGATTGAAAGGTCCCAGGTTCGATCCTGGTCAAGGGCATGTGGTTGCGGGCACATCCCCAGTAGGGGGTGTGCAAGAGGCAGCTGATGGATGATTCTCTCTCATTGATGTTTCTAACTCTCTATCCCTCTCTCTTCCTCTCTGTAAAAAATCAATAACATATATTTTTTTTAAAAGAAAGACAATTTAGCTCTCGTTGGATTTTTGTGAATGCAACACATGATTCATCCTGTGTGTTCTTTGTTCTCCTTGCTAGGGAAGCCCTGCGGATTTCCGGAAATAAAACACGGACGGCTGCTTCACGCAGATACATCGAAATCACACTTTCCAGTGTATGAGGGGCGATCGTTGGCCTACTTCTGTGACTACGGCTATGTGCCTCCCTCACAAGCTGGCCTGGGCGTCCTAACTTGCACCCAAGACGGATGGTCCCCGGACATACCCTGCCTCAGTAAGCCAATCCCTTCGTCCTGGGCGCGTAGGAACACTCCACGGCGGAGAGAGGAAAACCTGAGTGCCACATGTCGAGGGAAGCACTCTGTGTCTGAGCAGGAAGACCAATGTCGGATTTTTCTTTTATGATAGATCCCTCACTAACAATATGGGACACTGCCCTCGCTCGTTTGGCTCAGTGGCAGAGTGAAGGGTCCCGGGTTCGATTCCGGCCAAGGGCACATACCTCGGTTGCCTGTTTCCCAGCCCTGGTCAGGGCGCATGTAGGAGACGACCAATCATGGCGTCTCTCTCACATCGATGTCTCTCTGTGTCTCTTTCTCTCCCTTCCACTATCTCTAAAAATCAGTGGGGAAATATCCTCAGGGGAGGATTAACTGGAAAAAAAAGAAAAGAAAATGGGAGATCAAAAAAAAAATTTTATAGCAATAGTGATGTCCTTTATTCATAGTTTAATTGGGAAAACGACAGATTACCTTTCACCTTGATTTTTCTCTTTAAAAAAAAAAAAGCACTTGCTGGCAGCTCTAGCTCCTCTCCAGCTATGTGTTCCGGTTGGGTGTTCATGCATTCTTACTTAAATGTAGCAAAGATGATTTTTTTAAAAATATGTTTTATTGATTTTTCACAGAGAGGAAGAGAGAGGGATAGAGAGCTGGAAACATCGATGAGAGAGAATCATCCATCAGCTGCCTCTTGCACACCCCCTACTGGGGATGTGCCTGCCACCAAGGTCCATGCCCTTGACCGGAATCGAACCTGGGACCTCTCAGTCCGCAGGCCGACGCTCTATCCACTGAGCCACACCGGTTTCGGCAGCAGAGATGATTTTTTAATGTCTTAACCAAATGTATGATTTCTTATTATCCATTTATAATTGGATAATATAATATAATTTTCCTAGGAAAATGTTCTTTCAAGTCTTTGAGACACGGCTATGCTCCAGACTCTGAAGAAAGATACGTCCAGGGCCAGTCCAGAACCGTTATGTGCCATCGGGGCTACGGTCTCCCGAACCCACAGAACACGATGACGTGTGCGGAGAACGGCTGGTCCCCTCCCCCCAAGTGCATCCCTGTCAGTAAGTAACCCGCTCCGAGACCCAGCATTTTCTGAGACCAGACTCGTTTCTGTGGAACACTTCGCTGTAGTGAAAAAAAAGCTGTGCCCTTGGCCGTGCGTTTTCATACTCAAGAAAGGATGGGTAAAGAGATCTATTTTTTTAAATATATTTTATTCATTTTTACAGAGAGGAAGGGAGAGGGATAGAGAGCCAGAAACATCAATGAGAGAGAAACATCGACCAGCTGCCTCCTGCACACCCCCCACCGGGGATGTGCCCGCAACCAGTGTCCATGCTCTTGCCCGGAATGGAACCTGGGACCTTTCAGTCCACAGACCGACGCTCTATCCACTGAGCCACACTTCCCTTATCCACACAAATCCATGAGATTCTGTTTCTTAGATGGGACTTGATTCGGCAATAGGAATGCAACGGTCACCTTTACTTTGCTTCAGGGCATTGTGACATGCCAATATTCGAGAATGCCAGAGCCACATTCACCGGAAAACCATTTCGGCCCAACGACACGATGGACTACCAATGCCTGGATGGCTACGAAAACAGAGACGGAAGCACCAACGGCTCCATGGTGTGTGGTGAGGACGGCTGGTCCCACTTGCCAACCTGCTTTAGTGAGTGTTTTGATTCCAGCATTTCCTTTTCCAAGAATTGAGAAGTCTACATGTATGGAGCCCTCGCTTGAGTGTGAGTGGTCTAACGCCATGGTCAGCAAACTGCGGCTCTTTGGCCCCTTGAGTTTTTAGCAAAGGCCAACTTAGAAGTACCCAAATTAAGTGAATCACAATGTACCTACCTATATCGTTTACGTTTAAAAGAAAATGTGGCTCTCCAAAGAAACGTCAATCGTTGTCCTGTTGATATTTGGCTCTGCAGACGAATGAGTTTGCCGACCACTGGGCTAAAGCATTTTTGAACAACGCGGTGGTTACAAGGTTTAAAATGCAAAAGAGGGACAATGGTTCCTGTTTAGCTTCGCATGAATAGTTTCCAACACAACTACAGTTTTCTCTCCCAACGGTTAAAATGCTCTTTTTCAGAATCTGCAGACAAGTGTGGGCCTCCTCCAGAGATTAGCAATGGAGACATCGCCTCCTTCCCGCTAAAAGCGTATCCTCCGTGGTCAAGGGTGGAATACCAGTGCCAGGCCTACTATGAACTCCAGGGTCCTACAGATGTCACCTGTAGTTATGGGAAGTGGTCCAAACCGCCGAGATGCATAGGTAAGTTCTCAAGAATCTTCTGGATCCTGAGACCAGGAGGGCGATGTTTATGAGCTGGCGGGCGGTCTACTGGTCATGGAGTCGGAGTCTAGAACTGTGCTCACCCACAGCTCTCCTGCTCAATGTTTCACTTGTGGAGACTCATGTGTAGGGGTATGAGCTTGGAGAATCCCTATGTGAACAATGAAAGATGGTCCTTGAAAAGGGAACATTCGAGAGGCTCATTCCGATACACAAATTGACCCTCTCCTGTGTATGTGTCCCCTTCTGTGGGAAATTATAGCCACCCCAGTAAGTCCAGGACCGGAAATCAAAGTTACAAAACCCAAGTCAGAATCGTCCAGAAATAGCGCCAAGCTGGATTTTATGGGAGGGAAAGTGCTGAGTTTCAAAGATAAACGCTAAACCTCAAGTTTGATGGACTGAGTAGATGGACAAGTCTAAGACGGATTTCACAGCACATGCAATATCCGTTCCAAACACTTAGGACGAGAAAGCAGTCATCCTTCTCTGAGGACGTTATTTCTTCTGCTTTCAGAGCCATGCATAGTATCCAAAGAAAACTTGGATGGAAAGAACATACGGTTAAAAGGGAGCAATGACAAGACCTATTACGCAAAATCAGGGCATATCCTGGAATTTGTGTGCAAATCGGGACGCAAGGCGGTGACGTCTGCCAGGTCATTCCGAGCCCTGTGCCTGGAAGGGGCAGTGGAGCTGCCCAGATGTGAGTGAAGAGGCCAGCGGCCCCAGGTGTGTGGCCAATCCCACCAGCTGCTCCTCCTGCCTCCGAGCTTGCCAGTCTCCCGGCCTTTTCTGCTCTTTGCTACTCTATTTCATAGAGCAAAGTGTTAGTCGGCTCTACCGGCTCTCGGCCCCGGGCCCCCGGCTATCCCGGCCCCCGGCTCTCCAAGCTCTCCCAGCCCCCGGCCCTCCCGGACCCCGGCCCCGGCTCTCCCGGACCCCTGCTTACCCGGCCCTCGGCCCCGGGCTCTCCATGCCCGGCTCTCCCGGCACCCGGCTCCCAGCTCTCCCGGCCCCAAACCCCCAGCTCTCCCGGCCCCGAACCCCCGGCTCTCCCGCCTATCCCGGCCCCGGCTCTCCCGGCTCTCCCGGCCCCGAACCCCCGGCTCTCCTGGCCCCGGATCCCCGGCTCTCCCGGCTCCCCCGGCCCCAGCTCTCCGGGCTCGCGGCCCTGGCTCTCTCGGCCCCCGGCACTCGGCTCTCCCGGCCCCCGGACCCCGGCCCTCCTGGCCCCCGGCCCTCCCGGCCCCCGGCCCCAGCTCTCCCGGCCCCGAGTCTCCCGGCCCCAGCTCTCCTGGCCCCGAGTCTCCCGGCCCCGGCTCTCCCGGCCCCGTACTACCGGCTCTCCCTGCCCCCGACTCTCCCGGCTCTCCCGGCCCCGGCTCTCTGGGCTCCCGGCCCTTCCGGCCCCAATCCCCCGGCTCTCCCGGCCCCCGGCCCCGGCTCTCCCGGCTCCCAGCCCTCCCAGCCCCCGGCTCTCGCGTCCTCTGACCCCAGCTCTCCCGGCCCCCGGCTCTCCCGGCTCCCGGCTCTCCCGGCCCCGTACTCCCGGCTCTCCCGGCCCCGGACCCCCGGCTCTTCCGGCCACCGGCCCCTGGCTCTCCCTGCCCCCGGCTCTCCTGGCTCTCCCGGCCCCAGACTCCCGGATCTCCCGGCCCCGAACTACCGACTCTCCCTGCACCCAGCTCTCCCGGCCTCGTACTCCGGGCTCTCCCTGTCCCGACTCTCCCGAATCTCCCTGCCCCAGGCTTTCCTGGCTCTCCCGGCCCCGGCCCCGGCTCTCTCGGCCCCGAACCCCCGGCTCTCCTGGCCCCCGGCCCCCGGCTCTCCCGGCTCCCAGCCCTCCCAGCCCCCGGCTCTCCCGGCCCCTGGCTCTCCCTGCCCCCGGCTCTCCCGGCCCCCGACTCCCGGATCTCCCGGCCACGGCTCTCCCGGCCCCGGACCCCCGGCTCTCCCGGCTCTCCCGGCCCCGGCTCTCCGGGCTACCGGCCCTTCCGGCCCCGAACCCCCGGCTCTCCTGGCCTCCGGCCCCCGGCTCTCCCGGCTCCCAGCCCTCCCGGCCCCCGGCTCTCCTGTCCTCAGACCCCGGCTCTCCCGGCCCCGATCTCCCGGCCCCGGACCCCCGGCTCTCCCAGGCCCGTACTCCCGGCTCTCTCGGCCCCGGACCCCTGGCTCTCCCGGCCCCGGACCCCCGGCTCTCCCGGACCCCGGCTCTCCCGGCCTCGGACCGCGGCTCTCCCGGACCCCGGCTCTCCCGACCCGGACCCCCGGCTCTCCCGGACCCCGGCTCTCCCGACCCGGACCCCCGGCTCTCCCGGACCCCGGCTCTCCCGACCCGGACACCCCGGCTCTCCCGGCCCCGGACACCTCACTCTCCTGGCTCGTGGCCCCCGGCTCTCCCGGCTCTCCCGGCCCTCCCGGCCCTCCCGGCCCCAGCTCTACGGGCTCCCGGCCCTCCCAGCCCCCGGCTCTCCCGTCCTCTGACCCCAGCTCTCCCAGCCCCCGGTTCTCCCCAGCCCCCGGCCCCCGGTTCTCCCCAGCCCCCGACTCCCGGATCTCCCGGCCACCCCTCTCGGCCCTGAACTACCAACTCTCCCTGCAACCAGCTCTCCCGGCCCCGGACACCTCGCTCTCTTGGCTCCCGGCCCCCGGCTCTCCCGGCCCTCCCAGCCCCTGCTCTCCGGGCTCCCGGCCCCGGCTCTCTCGGCCCCGAACCCCCGGCTCTCCTGGCCCCCGGCCCGCGGCTCTCCCGGCTCCCAGCCCTCCCAGCCCCCGGCTCTCCCGTCCTCTGGCCCCAGCTCTGCCGGCCCCCGGCTCTCCCGGCCCTGGACCCCCGGCTCTCCCGGACCCCGGCTCTCCCGGCCCCGGACCCCGGCTCTCCCGGCCCCGGACCCCCGGCTCTCCCGGACCCCGGCTCTCCCGGCCCCGGACCCCGGCTCTCCCGGCCCCGGACCCCCGGCTCTCCCGGACCCCGGCTCTCCGGGCTCCGGACCCCCGGCTCTCCCGGACCCCGGCTCTCTCGGCCCCGAACCCCCGGCTCTCCTGGCCCTCGGCCCCCGGCTCTCCCGGCTCCCAGCCCTCCCAGCCCCCGGCTCTCCCGTCCTCTGACCCCAGCTCTGCCGGCCCCTGGTTCTCCCTGCCCCCGGCTCTCCCGGCCCCCGACTCCCGGATCTCCCGGCCACGGCTCTCCCGGCCCCGGACCCCCGGTTCTTCCGGCCCCGGACCCCTGGCTCTCCCTGCCCCCAGCTCTCCCAGCCCCGGACCCCGGCTCTCCCGGGCCCATACTCCCGGCTCTCCCGGCCCCGGCTCTCCGCGCTCACGGCCCTTCCGGCCTCGAACCCCCGGCTCTCCCGGCCCCCGGCACCGGCCCTTCCGGCCCCGAACCCCCGGCTCTCCCGGCCCCCGGCACCGGCCCTTCCGGCCCCGAACCCCCGGCTCTCCCGGCCCCCGGCCTTGGCTCTCTCGGCCCCGAACCCCCGGCTCTCCTGGCCCCCGGCCCCCGGCTCTCCCGGCTCCCAGCCCTCCCAGCCCCCGGCTCTCCCGTCCTCTGACCCCAGCTCTCCCGGCCCCCGGCTCTCCCGGCTCTCCCGGCCCCCGACTCCTGGATCTCCCGGCCACGGCTCTCCCGGCCCCGGACCCCCGGCTCTCCCGGCCCCGGCTCTCCCAGCCCCCAGCCCCGGACTCTCCCGGCCCCGAACCCCCAGCTCTCCCGGCCCCGGACACCCCACTCTCCCGGCCCCGGACCCCGGCTCTCCCGGCCCCGGACCCCGGCTCTCCCGGCCCGGACCCCGGCTCTCCCGGACCCCGGCTCTCCCGGCCCGGACCCCGGCTCTCCCGGACCCCGGCTCTCCCGGCCACGGACCCCCGGCTCTCCCGGCCCCCGGCCCCCGGAATTCCCGGCCCCCGACTCTCCCGGCTCCCTGCCCCCGGCTCTCCTGGCCCCGGACACCCCGCTCTCCCAGCCCCGGCCCCCGGCTCTCAGGGCCTTCGACCCCCGGCTCTCCGGGCCCCTGGCCCCGGGCTCTCCTGGTCCCGGGCTCTCCCGGCCCCGGACCCCCGGCTCTCCCGGCCCCGTACTCCCGGCTCTCCCGGCCCCCGGCTCTTCCGGCCCCGGACCCTGGCTCTCCCGGCCCCGGTCCCTGGCTCTCCCGGCCCCGGCTCTCCCGGCCCCGGACCCCCGGCTCTCCCGGCCCCGGACACCCCACTCTCCCGGCCACGGACCCCCGGCTCTCCCGGCCCCCGGCCCCCGGAATTCCCGGCCCCCGACTCTCCCGGCTCCCTGCCCCCGGCTCTCCTGGCCCCGGACACCCCGCTCTCCCAGCCCCGGCCCCCGGCTCTCAGGGCCTTCGACCCCCGGCTCTCAGGGCCCCTGGCCCCGGGCTCTCCTGGTCCCGGGCTCTCCCGGCCCCGGACCCCGGCTCTCCCGGCCCCGGACCCCCGGCTCTCCCGGCCCCGGCTCTCCCGGCCCCCGGCCCCCGGCCCTCCCAGCCCCCAGCCCCGGACTCTCCCGGCCCCGAACCCCCAGCTCTCCCGGCCCCGGACACCCCACTCTCCCGGCCACGGACCCCCGGCTCTCCCGGCCCCGGACCCCGGCTCTCCCGGCCCGGACCCCGGCTCTCCCGGACCCCGGCTCTCCCGGCCACGGACCTCCGGCTCTCCCGGCCCCCGGCCCCCGGAATTCCCGGCCCCCGACTCTCCCGGCTCCCTGCCCCCGGCTCTCCTGGCCCCGGACACCCCGCTCTCCCAGCCCCGGCCCCCGGCTCTCAGGGCCTTCGACCCCCGGCTCTCCGGGCCCCTGGCCCCGGGCTCTCCTGGTCCCGGGCTCTCCCGGCCCCGTACTCCCGGCTCTCCCGGCCCCCGGCTCTCCCGGCCCCGGACCCTGGCTCTCCCAGCCCCGGTCCCTGGCTCTCCCGGCCACGGCTCTCCCGGCCCCGGACCCCCGGCTCTCCCGGCCCCGGCTCTCCCGGACCCCGGCTCTCCCGGACCCCGGCCCCCGGCTCTCCCGGCCCCGAACCCCCGGCTCTCCCGGCCCCGGCTCTCCCGGCCCCCGGACCCCCGGCCCCCGGATCTCCTGGCTCCCGGCAAGGATTAGCCCCCTTGCTGATGGACCGATAATCAGGGTGGCTTTCTGCCTATTGACCTGGATGCTCACACCCTCAGTTGGGTCTAGAGCTTCCTGGGCAGACAGTGCAGCCTGAAGTGAGATGTGAAAATAACAGTGAAGTGCGTCTGGCCGGCGTGGCTCAGGGGCCGAGGGTCAGGGTTCGATTCCCGTCAGGGCACAGGCCCGGGTGGTGAGCTCCATCCCCAGCAGGGGGCGTGCAGGAGGCAGCCATGGATGCTTCTCTCTCATCATGGATGCTTCTCTCTCCCCCTCTCCCTTCCCCTCTAAAAGCCATAGAAAATTCAATGGGAAAATATCATAAAGGAAGTGGACAATAGAAGACAAATATTTCTATGATAGAACGGACGGAAGACGTGCAATCAAACTAGAAATAAAGGAACCTGTTTGGATTTTTATTTTTTATTTTCAGACATAGAAAATGTTCATCATAAACAATTGAAATTCAAATTAAAACTTAGAGGTTTCTCATCCAACCATTTTCTTCTAAAAATTACGTTTCTCAAAGGATTTTACGATGTGTTGAAATATGGTTTTTACTTCTGCCATTCACATTTTAAAGGGTTCTTAATATGCCCTCCTGAGAAAGAGAGAAGGAGAGAGGAGAGAGAGAGAGAGAGAGAGAGAGAGAGGAGGGAGAGAGAGAGAATTAA